TTCAGTTTACCAAATGTTTACTTACTTAATCTACTTACCTTTATATCTTAGTTAGGCTATGAACTTCCCATCCATCCATTATACACAATTATGCATGTTAGCAAGATGAAGAATAGTATCTGAACAAAAGTGGAAAAGCTTTTTTCATTGACAATGAATTATTTTAATGATATCAGCAACACATCTAGAAATCTAAAGATTATATGAACATAACAGATATATGCTGCATAAAAGCACTTTGAACACCATACTCTGGTGGTTCAACACACAATCCATCTTACAACAATTTTGACAATAAATAAAAGTCTGATCAAGAGAGAAAAGGATTCACTGAAAAGAAAATGCATTGTTTACTGATCTCACAACACTTGATGATAAACCTAAGACAAGGCTCATACATAATAGGATCATCACAAAAGCAATGTAGTATGAGGTATATGAGCTAATAAGAGGATATAACAGAGATTTAGTCAAAGTAGGCTAACTTAAAATCCAACAGTTTTAATATAAAAAACACACAGTTTTCTTCCAACCATAAGTCACCAACCTAGACATGAAGACAAAACTCATTGTCATTAAAAAATGCTTTTCACTTTCTCTATATACAGTTATATTGATATAAGTTTTGTTCAAGCAGCTTCTTCTCATGAACCATTGCTTTGTGTAAATAACTCCCAAGAAGATGCTTCCTTGATCACTAAAATCTTAACTTGTTAACTTATCTTCCCCACATATAACTGTGCCTCTTACCCTGTAATCTTCTACATTAAGTGGCTCTTGGAACTTTTACAAGATGAAAATCCTAGTAAAAAAAATAAAAAATATTAAAAGAAAGAGGAGCTGAGGGGTTAGCCTGCCAAATGAGTTTGTGTAAATGGATGACAGAATAGAGAGTAAGAGGGATAATAAAAAGACAGACAAGCTAAGAGCTACAAAGGATAGGAAGATGTAGAGAGTTATGATAATTCACAACTTGAAGAAACAAAGTATATAAAAGAAGAGAAAACCTTAAAAGCATACAAATGCTATCAAGTTTGTATTTATGATATGAAAGTAAAACAAAACATTTTTATAATTTATCTCCACTTTTCACTTCCACACATGATCACAAGTACTTGCAGGAGATACATGTTCTTGTCTTTACCCTTGAGAAAATTAACTGTCAGATAATGCAGTCCTGAAATTATACAAATAGGCAACTAAAACATTCCACCACCTATCATAGAATTTAAGGATACAGGTTTTTCTCAATATCCACATATACAAAATTCTTATAGAACCTTATATAAGCAAAAATGATATAAATTAAAGAGATGATTACCATTAATTTATATGGGATTTTTTTTTGCCATTCCTAAATCCACCAAAACACATTGTATAAGATTTTACTGTGATTGCAATGATTTCAATTTCGTTTAAAAGGCATATAGGTTCAGAGAATGCTTTGTGTGCATACAAAAAATATGACAGAAATATTTGTGAGGCTAAACAACCAAGCTTCTATATCAAACCAAGCAAATAACAAAGCTCAACCTTCAATATCAAAGCAGGAGTGTGGAAGTAGACTTTAGAAGGAACTGGAAACCCAATCCTAAAGAGGAAACAAGGAATATAACTCTACTCTTGTTTACACTCCTCCTCAGTGTTTTGAACAGGAATGGACTTCTGGTTCCTTTTAAAATCTACTCCTAATGTTTCCAACTGGAATCTGAAATTATATTTAATTAAATCTTGACCTCTTCAAGCTTAGATTTAGCCATTGTCTTTCCTGCAAAGCCCCAAGAATTTCACTTCTTGGCCTTTCTTATGCACATGCAACACCACACAGTAACCTTCTACCTTGAGTGACTCTTTGACTTTCTATTGGGTGAACATTAGTATAAAAATCATAAAAGGGTATACACAGAAGGTTATTTGGGAGCTTTAGAAAGCTCAAAAGATTTTCCAATAGAAATTGATGGTAACTCTTCCACTGTATATATACTATGCATATATGTAGATCTATGTATGTATATATAAAGTATGGAAGGACAGATGGTGTAATAATTAGCATCTTGGAATGAGAAATTAATGACACTAATTTGAATTCCAGTCAATTTCATTACATTCACTTTCATGCAAAAACTCATAGAAAAAGTATGAATCCATCTCATCTCTCTGCAACTATGGCTTAAATAAACTGGACTCTTTGACCTTGGTTGGCAACCTGTCTAAGAGAAGGAGACCTCTTAATTTAAAACCTGCAATTGAATCTATTACTAGTTATCTTGAACATTCTTGTCCTTAGATTATGGTAGTTGATGTTCAAAGTGTGATATTCAAGTTAATTTTAATAATAGACACTTGTACAAGTGTCTATTATTAAAATATTTCTGACTTATGGGTACTTCCTTATATAAAAGAGCTAAGCATTGGTTAACTTAATAAAGTAGTAATACTCAGAATCAAGTAGACAGGTATCATCACCATATATATAAGATATATTTTGGTAGATGATACCAAAATACCATATAGCACTCATTGCAAGAAATGACTCAAAATAGTAGAAGCTATTATTAAGCAAAAGAATGAAACTATTAAATAAAACATCTTTCACTAGCAGACAGTATTTTATTGTATATCTAAAGTATATAATATCTATACAAAACGATAATATATATAAATATTAGATAAATTCTTTTCCAGTGTAGCCTAGTTCCATGTAACTGTTTTGCAAGTTATTCCACTTATACAATATGTTTATATTTGAATTAATTTAATTTCTAGTATTCTCAAAAATTCCAAGAGATAACCACTAATTTTTATCTGCCATACTGACAACATACAATTCTTAATAATGACTGAGACAAAGTACTTAAGCAAAGCAGAGGAAAAACATCAAATTTAGACTGTTTATCCACTATTTTGTTCCTGATAGCTAACATATTTTTTTAAATTTGGAAAAGTGCACTAAAAAATTAAACAACAGGTCTTGTTATTTGAATTTAATAAAACATAAAATTTAAAACATTAAAATGAAGTAATAAGGTCTTTAGGTTGCTAGTCAGAAAGATTAATAAATAGATAATGTGGAAATGTAAAAATAGATATTTAATCTAGATATAGTCTAATATGGTACTAAAAGCAGCAAAATAAATAAATTAGATTAAAAAAAAATTGTATTCTGTGCAAAATGGAATGCATTTATTGAGTGAAAAAAGAAATAAAACATTACCTCCTACTGGTATTGAACACAGGAATCGGCACTGTGAGCAACCACCGCTTATGTTGCACACTTGCCAGATGAATATGAAAAATGTCCCGCACAGTATTGATATATGTCAGCTGGCACCTGACCCAATCTCTGATGCAAATAGGTTGCATGCTGTGTAAATGTATTCAGTCCTTGTACATGCAGTTGTATGCGTATAGTCATATACAATATAGAAAGGATAAAAAAGATTATAGTAATTTGGTTTTCTCTTGTATTTAACTGTCACCCTCATTGTTATATATTCTAAATATAACTTGTTCTATTCTTAATAAAATGTACACTTGCATATATTAACACATATGCATACACACACACACACACACACATCTTACTATATAATATGCCAAATGTTTTTGTTTGTAATGTCTGTAACTGTTTGTGGAAAGTTACTTATACTACCAATTTATTTATAAAAATTTATCTCAGTATAAAAGTGGACATTGAGGTCAACATGCAGCAGTGACAGTCTGTTTCATGCTTAAACATAATTGTCAGGTCATCTTGCATTTAAGCATAAAACAGACTGTTGTTGCTGGGTGTTGACCTTAATGTCCACTTTTATATTTACTTACACACTCTTCCTGACATGAAGCACTTTAGCTCATAAATATAGCAAACTTTAAAATTATATTTTTATCATAAAAATTTATTTATAAACCAATATTTAATGCTATTTAATATGATAATCTAATAATAGTAAGGAATTAAAATACTCTGTTATTTTTAAAGCCCACATAAACTAACACACACACACACACACAATGATAATAACAAAGCTGTTATTGACTAAAGTAATTCTGAAAGAAAATATTTTTAAAGCAGTCTTTGTAATTAAGTTAAAAATATCTTCATTAAAAAAAGAAGGGACTATTTTTTCATTAGTTTCTTTAAAATTTTGGTTAAAGTGCTTTTTTTCTGTTAAGTATTAAAATTATTAAAATATATTTTTGCTGATTTAGTGATGTTTATCTTTTATGATGTATAAATAATATTCTTTTTTTCATATATTTCAAAAGCAAACAAAAGCATTGGTAGTAATTCTTGTTTTATGTTTCATCTTTTCTTGTCTTTTGCACTTTTGAATGAATCCCTTTCTCATACAAAATGATATATATCCTAGACAAATAAAACTATGATTATTCACTTGTAATTAAATAAACCAAGAACGGCACCATATAAGCAAGAATTCAGTGCCCTAAATAGGCACAGAAACAAAATAGATGAAAATTTCCTACTGTATTGGACATGTCTTCCTGCTTTTTTTGCATTGAGTTTTTCATTAGAGAATATTTTGAATGATTTTCTTATTATTTTAAATATTCGCAATTAAAATAAAAGTAATTTAAACTACACAAAATTCTATAATGTCCCTTTTAAGCATTGCTATGACTTCTGTCCATATATTTTTCTAACAAAAGTAGCCATTATGACTTAAATTTTATTGATATATTTTTACCAATGTATTTCATATTTGATTTACACTTAATTATATTGTAATAAAAAGTTAAAACCTGTTGTCATCCATTCTCCATTTTATCCACAATCAGTAATCAAATATCTTTCCTGGAATAACAAAATTGGATTGAAATATTTAATCAAATTGTCTTAAGCCTTCATTTTGTTGTCATATCAAAATTATCTTGAATTTTTCATAACTTTTATGTAGTGGACAAAATAAGAGCTCATAAGTGGTCTAGTTCTAATTAAATATTTTAATCCAATTCTTTTTCTTTTTAATCTGTTTTAGGCAAAGGAGATGTCTTTGGCGATAATTTTTGGAAGGAAACCACGGTTGGACAATCAGCTGCAAATGTGAAAGCCCTCACTTACTGTGATCTGCACGTTATCAAACGTGATAACCTTCTGAGTGTTCTAAAATTTTATCACTCCTTCTCACATTCATTTGAGAGGAACCTAACACTCACATACAACTTAAGACATAGAGTAAGTATTTATTTAACTGCAATTACAATTTGCAGAACTTAAAAAAGACAAATATTTTGTTCAGACAATTTCAGTACTTTTTAGCATTTTTCATACTAATAACACAGTATTTTAACCAATCCATTCTTCAGCTTTTGTCAGGTATGTATGTATAAGAAAAGAAACTTGTAAAACAGCAACAGAAAAATATATTTATTTATTTATTAATATCAAGATGAAATTCATAATAGCTGATTTATGGCATATACCCTACTAACTTCTACAAGTAGATTTTTTCAATTTAGCTAGGTTGTATAAATTAACTGGGCTACACATTTTAATGTGGTATAATGATTAACAAACTTGTCTTGCTAGATCAATTATTACTGAGTAGTGAGTTTGATCCATACTGACAGCCTAGTATGTCATCTAAGCTATGCTTAGTAAATCACTATGGGCACTTCAACATGGTGTAATGGTTAACAAGCTTGTCTCACTAAACCAATTATGACTAAGTAGTGACTTCAATCCTCACTGGGTCCTCCATAATCTCTTCCTAGGCTGCATCTAAGTGCTTAGTAAATCACTAATGGTTAGCAAGTTTGCCTCACCAGATCAATTACAACTGAGTATTAAGTTCAATCCTCTCAGGGTCCTCTATACTTGCAACTTTGTGTTACATTGATATAATGCTTAGCAAACTTGTCCTCCTTGATCTATTATGAATAGTGAGCTTGATCCTCACTAGGCAATCCATACTGGCGGCCTTGTTACATGTTTACTCTATGCTTAGGCAAGTCACTATAAATGAACTGTGTTTTGTTGTATGCGAAGCTTTTTCTGCTGTTGTCTGTAGAATCTATAGTGGTTGTTACTTCAACATAGGTGCTTTTCATCAATCCAAGGACCAAATATAGTAAGATATTAGACCAAGACTAGCATTTCCATTAACAAACTAATGAAGATGTTCATACTTTGTTGTCATTACATCTTATAACTTACAGCAACATCTTATTTAAATGTAAACTAATGTATTTAATTTTATCTTATTCATACATTTACAATTTTCTTCATTTTTTTAACACATGAACATTATTATTACACATATATAATCCTTTTTGGCAATGTTTAACCTTTGTTCTCATAAAAAAAAGTGTGTCAAAAGAATGGTTATTACCTTGGCATCATTACACCATTTTTATTACTTCCTCAGAAATCTCTATTTCTTTAAAAACAATGATTAGAATGTTAATAAAACCTAAACATATAAAAGTAGATTTATACATTTTCTTTATTCTTGAGAATTGACAACAATGATATTAAATTTATTCATTAGATTGCTTATTTACAAGAATAATTTTATATTTACAAGGTTATAAAAATATGTGAACCAACCAGAACAAAATATTTATAATTTACAATTTTATAAAGAAATAAACATGAAAGGAAATTTTTCTTATTCATAAATTTATAAAAATATCTGAACAAAAAAATTTAAATAAAAACATAATGACAACTCTAATTATAAATTTTGAAAAAATGCATTTTCTGGACATTTCTTTCATTTGCTCATGACAAATAAATTCCTTAAAGTAGGTAGAGATAATCTCTTCCTCCGAATAAAACATTATTTTAATTTTAGATTTTAGACAAGCAAAAACACTCAATATTTTATATGTATATCTCAAAATACATTGGATGGACAAAGTTTTCCTTGTGTATAATTACAGAATGTCTGTAATTTTTACCACAAATATTGCATTGTTGCTGATTTATATATTTTGATAATTTTGTAATTTCTCAAAGATTTTTTAATAAAAATATTTCTTTTCAAATTTCTTTCTTTATAAAATGGTAAGTAAATAAATATATATAAAAAGTAAATAATAAATATTGCATTGTAATAGGTTCACTAATTTTTATAACCTTGTAAATAAACATTGCCAAGTGAGTCAAAGAAAAAACATATAATAATGTTGTCAAGGGAATAAATGTCCTTTTGATACACCCTTTTTTGTAGGTTAAACATTGTTTCTTGTTTGTTTGTTTTTTTGTTTGTTTTGTTTGTTTGTTTTTTATTTCATACACAATATAAAATTTAATAAATACTGAACAAAGAAATAATATGGAGACTAATCAACAAAAGAGCAAATGACTTACCTGCCAATTAAGTAAAAATGGCAGCAAAAATTCAATGATGATAATACTTAGAAAGTGACCACAATAACTGAAAGAAACATTTTCACTAAATGAATTAAAAAATAGTCAAAACTTTTGAGCCAGAATTGAAAATTGTGGATTCAATCAGGTAGCTGACCAGGACATGATCACTCCTGGTTTGGTTGGCTGGGAGAGGTAATGTTTTTAGAGGTTCATAATCCCCAATTACACCAGGAGTAAATGTCATTAGTACTCTACAAGGGTGTTGAAGTAAAAATGACACATTTTCAATTTGGGCCTCTGATATATATTGCCAAAAAATAAAAATAGCAGGGAATATTGTGAATGCAATCTTTTGTCAAATCTTTTTCTTATAAAGGATTAACTCTTTGACTTGTGATTTCTAACATAATTTTTTCTTTTTAATCAGGCCTCACATTACACTTCATTAAAAACCAATTTCTAGCTTAGGTATATGAATGATACTTTTCTGTTATGGTCCCTTGGGAAAGATATATGAACCCTGTTGAACTCAATTAGACCATTATCTTTGGTATGAGAATAAACTGCATCCATGTCCTGGGTAAGATGAAAAACATTACATCCAACAGCAAGACCTCTGATTAGGAGGTTTTGAGGAGCATGAAACCACCTTTTAATTGCTAGTGTTTGCAGGTCCACCCTGCCTCGGGGTGGTAGCACTTGTTAGGGTCACAGCTATGGGCAAATAGTTAACACCCAAATGGGGGTCAAAACACTATGAAAGTGTAAAAATAGGTTTCAATACCAGCAATAAATTTTTGGAAAAATTATTACCAGCAATTAATTTTTTTCCAAAAATTATTACCAGCAATTTCATTTTTTGGAAAAAAAATATTACCAGCAATACCTTCTAGGAAAAAAATATTAACAGCAATACATTTTTGAAAAAATATTACCAGCAATAAAATCTTGTCAGCATTAAATAACCCATTGAGGTTGATATGCTGTAAAACAAAACAAACCAATTAAACCATCTACAATAGTCACACAGGAGAAGAAATAGAAAAATTAAATTCTTTTTTTGAATGCCCACAATATGCATACAAAGATAGGATATAACACTAATGTGTACTGAAAACCAATGCATATGTAGTTATATTTTAATTTTGTGTCCAACTATTCTTTCTGTGTTGCAAAAACATTAATCTGCTACCTTCAACAATGGACAGAAATCAGCAGCAATAATCACGCAATAGAAAAAGAATAAAGGGACATAACTACTTATATTTTTATTGATTTTAAGATGAGAATTAAAAAGAGAATTTCCAGTATCATCAAAACTAGCAGGGAATATTGTGAATACGGTCTTTTGTCAAATCTTTTTCTTATAAAGGATTAACTGTTATAGCAAATAATATATTTTCAAGAGGTGCAGTGGAACAAATCCAAAGAATTTTGATGTTATTTCAAGTATGTTTTCAATAGTAAAAATACTTTTAAGAAATTCTTTACTTAAATTCTTTCTCTCTTGTTCTTGTAACGGCATTCACCCTAGGTGGGTTGAGCTGGCTCCAATATTGGAGTTTCATGGGAATTTGGAATTCACAAGTGGTCCCCAAACCCGCATGTATAGCACATGAGATTTGATTATAGTGGTGAAGATTTCATGCAGGACCATTCACACTTTTTGAAGGGCAGAATACAGAGACCTGGTGCACTACGACCCTCCACAGGTTTTGAATTCAGAGTTTTTCTTCTCCTAGACCAGTTGCCATCCAAGGCTATAGAACCCAGTCTGTCCTGCTATTTACCCATAGCTGGAGGGAGAAGAAGAGGATTCACACCTTTCCCAAGTATATTAGCATGTAAGTGAATGTAATGGATTCGATTGGAATTCGAACTTGGCTCTCCAATTCCTCAATCCAAGCCACTATCCGTTACTCCACCATGCCTCCTCCTAAATTTTACTTAAATTGGTCTTTTATGATAGAAGGATTTGACAAAACCCTGCAAACATTCCTGCAAATGTTTAAAATTACATAATGGAGAAACAAAATGTCTCCTTAAAATCAAATGCAGAATAAAATGCCAAAGCAAAAATGAAGATGGTAAATCTATCATAGCAAACCAAAATCTGAAGGGAAAATTGTATATATTACTGTCTGTGATGAAGCTCAGATAATTGACATAGAATATTGGAAAGTGAGAGACTTAACATATATTACCTTGCTGGCTAAATATACATGTCATTATGAGGATTTTGCTTGGCAAAGATATTAGGGAGTTCCTCTTGTATAGATTGGAATTGCCTGAATATATAGGTCACAGAATGGTTTAGTGTATCTAACATTGTTGAAATGGACTGATCCAATATTAACAACGACCTTTTAACTGCTTCCATTGTCAGAAGAAATTAGCCTTTTTTTTTTTTTAGGATTATACATTTGATGGAGTCTGAAGAGTGGATTTCTTGAAACATTGTTTTCAGAAAATCAAGAAGGATTTCAATTAACCATATGAAATTAACTTGATTATTATATGTCAATAAATAACATTAAAATAACATTAAATAAATAACATTAAAGCAGATAACATATTGGTCACTGAAGTACTGAAGTAATGTTATGAAACATTAAATTAAATGTTTCTTTATTATTCCTCTTTCTTTTTCTGAATAAATATTTATACTTCATTTTTCCTAATTTCTTTTTCTATCCAAGTCCTTCTATCTTTCTCTCCCTCTCTCTAATTATTTTCACATTTTTATTTTTTTATCATTCCTTCATTATCTCGAGATTTTCTCTCTTTTTGCTTCTTCTTTCTTTTTTATCCAATCATTTCTGTAACTGTCTTTTTAATACTCTCTCTCTCTCTCTCTCTCTCTCTCTCTCTCTCTCTCAAAACTGAAAACGTCGTGTAGACTAGTTACATTAAAAAATCTTAATATACTGCATAAAATGTAATTAAAGGGAAATAACTTCTCTGGCATAAATGTAATTCGGAAAGGTGAAAAACCAAATTATGGCTTTCAAAGCAGAAAAGTAATCTACAAGGCAGAAAAGTTCTACATTTCTTCTTGAAAACGTAAATTTTAATATAAAATGCACCCTAGATTTAATATGAAATTTACTGAAAAGTAAAACTGAAAGTAGTATACTTGATTTTGCCTCTGGTGTCACTAAATGATTCCCAAGCCTATTACACTAGGTAGAATACAGATTGATTACAAGTTTCAGACTTTAAAAAAAAAAAATGTGCTTATATGCTGCAAAATAGGTAAACTGATAATTGTTAAATGTTTTAAGCAACATGTAGAATATTTTTTAGGAAATCAAACCATTATATTTCATACAAAATTAAAAATTAAGATTTCACACATCAGTAAATCTTTTTTAATTTTTAACTCTGTATTTTCTAATAAAGATGACTTGGCAAAAACCCAAAATATATACTAATTTTTAATATATATATATATATATATATATATATATATATATATATATATATATATGGAGGACACTACTATTGTTTTTTGATGTATGAGAGTCCAACAATTCAGTTCTTAGAACCAAACAGCCAGGCTATTCACACATATGATTTGATTATAGTGATGATGACTGGTGCAGAACTGGCCACACTTTTTAAAAGGGCTGAATACAGAAAACTAGTGTACAACATGATACAAGGTATCCAAATGACATTCTTTTGGGTTTGAATTCAGAGTTGTCCTTCTCCTAGACTGGCTGCAACCTAAGGCTATTGGACCTATTCTGTTCTGTTATTTACCTATAACTAGGGGAAGAAGAGATTGATTCATACCATTCCCAAGGGTATTTGCATGTAAGTGAATGTAATGAATTTGAACTCAACTCTCTTATTCCTCAATCCAAACTGCTATCCATTTCTCCACTGTGTCTCCATAGATGTGTGTGTGTATGCTTGCAGATCTCTTTTACATAGGATTGGTCAATAAATTCGCATTCGGGGAAACAATTTATTGACTAGATATTATCTTCTACGCAGGGGAGGCATGGAAGAGATTTGTAAATGCACTGCTTTTAAAAAGTGGTTGCAAATGTTGAAAGTGCAGAAGATAATATTATTTTTATATATATATATAAATAATATTATCTTCTGCACTTTCAACATTTGCACCCACTTTTTAAAAGCAGTGCACTTGCAAATTAATTATATATATATATATATATATATATATATATATATATATATACAATCTAAAGCATGCCAGATCGAGTGGAGGTTTATCCTACAAAGGGGGATACAGATTCAACTCATGTCAGAAGTTCCATTTTCTTCATTGTTTTCTAAATCTACTAAAAATAAAATTTAAAGTCAATACATATTTATATATAGTATTAAAAATTTATTCTGTATATTTTAATAATCAGAATTCAAAACATATAATAATATATATTACATATATTATATATAAATATATAATATCGTAAGTTATATGCATAAATCAGAAATCATGATATTTGGTAAAAATATTTAAAACAAAATTATTTAAAAAATTGTCATAATTTATCTTTCATGATAATTTCAAAAAATTTTAGCCTAACTTTGATTCATTTTCAAATAGACTCACAGAATTAAACAATGAAAATTTTATGCTTCCAGCACAATGATTAAAATTTTTTTAATTTTATTTCATCTTTTCAGTTAGTATTCCGAAAAGTGGCAGACGTGAAAAAAGAACGAGAACTAGCAGAGAAACGAAAAAATGACCCACCGCTTGACCTCTCCAGTGACCACCCGGTCAGGAAACTAATATCTAGATTCAGAAAGATTAGTGATGCAAGAACGATGCAGTCAGATACAGAAATAGATTCAAACCAACTGCAAAACAACAACTTGAGTGAATCTGAAGCAGGCCTGGGTAGTGAAGCCAGGGTGGTTAATGTTTCTGAATGTTCAGCCCAATCAGGCAATCTACCAAAATTTGGAGGTGGTGCTCCAAAATGGGGCAACAAGCTTTTGGGTCGTGATAAAAACATCCGGTCACCAGATTGCAATACAGCATGTGACCAAGTAGACACTGAAGACAACAGTAATAATATAGTAGGTGATGAGCTTAAGGTAAGTACATTTTTAAAAGGTTTATATTTCCTATTTTAAGACAAAGTTGAAAAGTGATTATGGAAACTGTGTGTAATTTTGAAAGTGACTAAAATCATTGTGTACTTTGCTTATGACCTAACGACCTTATTGCATGCATGTTGGTTGTCTTCCATGATCACTTGAAGCTGCTTGAGTACTTTCATCAACAAAGCTTGTGTTGAATATGATCAATTGGATAATACATATCAGTGATGTAGAAGTGCTTGAGAAACGTCAGTGTGACAACATTGAAGCAACAGTTTCAAAATATAAATTGTGTTGAAGTGATTATATTTCTCACATTAGGAACAACAGAATTCCTAAGAAAATTGAGTATGGAGAGCCCGCTAATGGAAACTGAAGAAACATTATAAGGATAGTCTAAAAGAATCACTTAATCTTGCAAACACCAGTACTGGGAGTTCCCTTTAAATAATCAAAGCAACTGTGCTGAGTCTGAGGCCTTCACCAACAAATTTGGGAGTTCTTTTCATATCAGAACAATCAGATTGAATTTTCCAAGTTGCTGTACTTTCATAATCACCATTAAACTCATTCATCTCTTTCCAAATCCTCTGAACTGTCCTCAGATTAACACCCATACACACTGAAATGTTTGTATTGGAGCTTCTGGTGTGAATGCCAAACAGTATAGCATGTGATTTCCAAATTTCTAATGGAGTGAACGGTGTTATGGTGCTCTTATTTTTACAGACTTTCCACAAATAACCCTACTATACTGTGTAGTCAACAAAATCAAGAACAAACAATGCTCATATGAAAAATTAAAAATATAAAATGGCGACAATATACCTGTGTGTGTGTGTGTGTGTGTGTGTGTGTGTGTGTGTGTGTGTGTGTGTGTGTGTGTGTGTGTGATAAAAAGTATAGTTTTAATGTATGCTATATTAATGGATAAAACTGTTCAATATTAGGGACAGAGTATGTGACATATCAATGCCATCATTTGTATATATATATATATATATATATATATATATATATATATATATATATATATATATATGCAACAGAACATAAAAAATTCAACAAACAACCAAACTATCAGCACACACTGGCAATAAGATGTTTTGACTTATCATTGAAGACTAAATTGGTGGAAACTTTACTTGGTGATGATATTTTGATAGATCTTTAGTGTTTGGATTGTCACCACATAAACTACTAATGTCACAGCATATTCTATAAATATGAAATATCTTCTTTATGGTACTTTCAAAAACAACAATTGTCTGTGTGATAAAATCTTCAGATAATTTTCACCTAGTGCCAGGTACTTTTTAAATCCTGACAATATTCAAATTTCACCTGCATCTTGCTAGTATGGGTTTTTGATCACTTCCTCTAAATTCCAGTCTCCATTTGTAACTTTGAAACTTAATAAAACACTTCAAAACAGGTTAATTGAATAACTATTTGTATTTACTAGAGCACTGTGTGAAAGGAAGGACATACTATTTTTTATTTATTTAATATTAATATTTTTCCTATTGAAGCTTTACACCTGGGGTTACCACCCCAGTAGCTCCACCCATACTACACCACTAAATTTAATACATGCATTTGTATATATGATTACATTGATATGTGGTTATATCATTAAGTGTCTAAATATTTATAACTTGAGTATTTATGTATCCATTTATTTTTTCAATAGATTTATATAAATATCTACAAATGGTTTCATTGAAACTAGATTTGATTACGTGTTTTGCTCTTCTAGGCTTTATCAGAACAAGAAACAAAAGAAAGAAATGAATGTGTGATTGTATTTGTGTGTATGCTTAAATCACTAAATCATTAGTACTTTGTCCACTAAACTGGCATTTCTCATGATGAAAGGAAAGAATGAAAATAATTGACTTTTAAAAACAAAATGAAAGGATTTTCCATTTGTCATGTTTCTTCAAAACTTTATCAGGATTCTATATCCTATTTTATACATGTAAATATCTACAAATATTGTCTTTCTTGCCAAATTTTGCAGGTTCCTGATATGATGCCACCTCGATCATCAATGAAGCCATTATCGAAATGGGGGAGAATGATTGCTAAGCAACAAGATACTATTGCTGAAGAGGACCCTTCTGTCAATGGTGAGGAAGCCGAAGCAGTAAAATCAAATCTACAAAAGAGTGACTCCACAGACAGCGGTATTCTGAAGAGTGACATACGCCTCGATCAAATTGCTGAAACATCATTCTCTCCATCAGTTGGCTCAAATGTAAATATGAATGCCCTCTCAACTGCAACTGGGCTTTCTCTAACTGTAACGAATATAAAGTCTGCCACAAGTACCACATCTGTAGTTGACCACCATGATAAAAAAGCTGATGTTAGATACCCGAACGTGGCGGTCTCAAATACATCCTGGAGTGCAAGCGAGAGAAATTTATCACTTGGGGGTCTCAACAAGCAGGGAATGCATGACACTAGTTCTGCAAAAGAAAGATTTTTGAATATTGGCTCTGTGGAGCAACAAGTTGTTCACTCTCTTGATGAACTGCGATTGAATATCAGGGATGAGATAAGGGGAATTAATGCACGTATTGGTCGCTTGGATGAACAGATGTCCGAATTACTCCGTTTGTTTACACCATCATCTTCATCACCTTGCTCCTCTGGGACAAACTTCCCCCCTTCAAAACATAATTCACCAAACAGTAATAGCAGTGGCAACATGAGTAACACAGCTGCTATATCTGGAAGTGGTACAAATACTTGCATTACGTCACCAACAAAAAATTCCTTGTCCTCTTCTCCCCGAAACAGGAACTGGAATTCAAGCCATCCAATCAGAGAAGAGAGTGTAGATACAAACTGGAATTCCATGGAAAATGTACATGCAAGTGGAAAAGGAACAAATGCACCTTCTGGTGAGCAGTTGCTGAATATTGAAGTATTACAGACTCAAAATCAAACCAGCCAATCATCTGTACCTCCAGCCATGAGCCAGCCAACCAGAGATGAGAGCATGGATTCAAATTTATCTGAAAGAGACATGGCTGCAGGTAAGCCAGATACTCCAACAAGCAATAAATCCAGCAAGTCCTCAAACACATCACGGAAGAGCATCCCAAACGAAGGGAAAGATAATCACAGTAGCAGTCACAAAACAAAGTCAAAATTTGAATGGAAGAAAAATGAAAAGGGCAAAGAGGAAGAGAGTAAATTTGAAGAGACTGACTTTGGAGGTCGAAAAATGTCAGATGAAGAAGAAAATATTCCTTTCAAAGACAAAGACCTTGATATCATGTGATTTTATTGGAATTCAATATACTAAAATCAAAACAAAATAAATTTAAGCAAATTTATTTTATTTTTTCTAATAATCCCAGTAAATTTTTCTCTAGGTGTAATTAATTATTTTGTTTAACAATAATTTAAATTTAAATTAAATAAATTAATTTATATTTGAGTAATTTCAGTAATCTAATAGATTTGTTTTTTTTTTTTTTAATTTTTAAGTAAGTTCTATTCACTATTATTCAATCCTTTTTCTTTGGCTAGCAAAGGTTTTACTCTTAAAATCAATGTTATAAATCTGATAAATTGAAGATTTATTGTGTTAGGTGCTCATAATGATTTCTACTTATGTATCACTGATTGACATGAAGCTGACTGATGCTTCATTTTCTCAGCACCACAGTTAAGATGGGCTATTGGCTGGCCCAGCTGAACTCTCACTTAACTTTCATCCCTGTGAATGTAGTTAGCAATTATTGGCAAACCTTGGCAAAAAATTCAGTTAGAAATGTGCTGCAACTGGTAGGTAGTATTTTTTAACTTCTTTTTCCTTTATATATATATATATATATATATATATATATATATATATATATATATATGCACACACACACACACACACACACACACACACACACACACACACATTTACATGTATGCATATATATACCTGGTTATTCACATTTATATGAACACATATATCTGGCTACTCATATTTGAAACAAACGCGTCTAAGCAAGCGTCTGCAATGAGGATTGGCTAAGCTAATCCTCATTGCAGACGCTTGCTCAGATGTGTTTGTTTTTATTCAACACCCACAGAGCCAACCTGTGGTTTATACTGCAACTATGCTGACAGGCCTTAGTTAAAGTTTCTGGGAAATAGCATGTTATCTAGTGTGATCACCAATTTGAACAAGGCCAGCACACTCAAGCCCTCAGCACAGCTATTAATGCCCCCCAGCAAGGTTCCAACTATCCACTTTCACTCACAAGGCTTGGTTCAACCTGTGGTATGGTTTTCAGGCACTTTCCAAAGGTGCCGCATGCTGGGATCAACAAATGTCTGATAACATCAGGAAGTCTCCTTCCTGACAAATCAACTATGGTGAGATTTGAACCCGGGTCTCATAGTCAGAATGCAAAAATTCTAACCACTCAACCAACACACATACACACATACATACATACATGCATAAGACATATGTGTGTGGGGGTCAACTGTGCTGCAAATTTATTGGCATGATCAAGATGTCATGAATGGATCAAAAATCTGATGTTTGGTCAGATTTTAGAAAGTGGTTCAGGCTAAGCTCTTTTATACACACACAGACACACACACACACACACATAGATATATATATAGATTCCTATATATATGTCCTGGGTATGACGATAAACTACATCCGGCAGCAAGTCTTCTGATCGGGAGATTGGAGGATTTGAGGAGCGTGGAACCACCTTTTAATTGCTGTTGTTCCTACGTCCGACCTGGCCCAGGGTGGTAACACCTGTTAGGGTCCCAACTATGGGCAAATAGTGCCTACCAGGGATGACCAAGCTCTTTAGTGTTATGGAATACGATTAGTCTAGGAGATTGAAAACTCTTACACGAAAAGCCTGAGGTTTATTGTCTGCTTTGTCTGTGGTATTTATTTGCACCGACTGAGTGTATCAATAGTACCGAAAAGTGTGGATGGTTCTGCACAAGCCCTCACCACTTTAATTAAATCACTTGTGTAGGTTTTCTGGCAGTCTACCCTGTTATTCTCATACATCGAAACCGACAGGAGAGTCCATTATTATCATTATCATTATATATATCTATATATATATATATAGCACAGGAACATACACTACACAGAGGTTTTAAAAGGCTGACAAACCATCTATGAAATTTTGTCATTTACTACTTCCCAGTTGGCATTTGCCAAGGCTTACTAGATATTAACCACAGGAGTTGCTATAGAGAAGGTTAGATAATGGTTCAATTTATGGGAACTTTGCTTCTGTTTTCCCTACTATTATTAAAAACAAATGATAAATAACAAATATATGTGGCTTGAATTTAAAGATATGGAACATTACATGTAATCAAGTTTAGACATTGTAAAGTCTGTTCAATCTGACTTTCAAAATTTGGAGTGGTAAGCAATGAGTAGTGGGACATATCACATTTGATGAAAGACAATGTGAAATATTTTAAGAATTAAATTACTAAATCAGCTGCTAGGATTTTTAGCTGTTATAAATTTTTTAAATCTTTTAATGGATATTCCCAATTTATGTGTATTCGTTAATCAAAGATCAAATACATGCATACACATATACATATATACAATCTCTCTTGCATAATCAAACATACACACTTATTTGTGCATATGCATATGTGTAAGTACATATATATATATATATATATATATATATATATATATATATATATATATATATATACATACATACACATACATATGCCCACAAGCATGCACACACACACATATATATGCAGTTATCCATTAGAAAATTTAATTTTACTTTTTCAGTTTTGCATTAAGTTTAATTCAAATAAATTTTAACCTCTATTTAATCAAGCTTTAAAATGAAAATTCAATTTAAATTGCCTTGCTAATTTTCATGAAATTTATAAGATGTAATTTTGTAAAATCTGAAAAGTTTAATTACACTCACAATTTTCTTACCATTGTTACTTTTTAACCAAAATTAACAGCACTTAACATGAAATCAATTAATATCAAATAAAATAAAAGACTGATAGCTATAAAAAATAAATAAAATAATTTCTTTTATTCAGAATTTTGTGTTTAAGATGAAACTAAATTTTTTAATAAAATTCGCTAAAATTTTTTTATAAATTCTGTTTTCGCATTTTTAAAATTCTGTTACAATTTAAATGAATTTCTTTTTGTCTTATTTCAAACTGAATTGATTCACATGCCATAAAAAACAGGGGTTGATTGGGAGTTCAAAACAGACTCTGTACAAACACCTAAATTCAATCCATTAATATAGGCTATGATTTTGGTACCCATACAGCTAGGTGTTCACTGGTGTTATAACCCCCCACTGCAAGAAAAATAATATTGAAACGAGAGCCCAGTCAAGTTATCAATCAATTGACAGCACTAGCTCACGGACTTTGCCCAGTCTCCTCATGTCCCAATATGCCTCTGATTAAAGCATACTTTAATATTGCTTTTAAGACAATTTTTTAAAACATATGGGTTGATTGATAAGTAAAGTCTCTTACTGCATAATGTAACTAGTAGGAAAGATAGATTTAGTAATATATAAAGTCCTCTGTACATGTACTTTATGCCAGTTTGCTGTACGATAGCATTCATTAGTCATATGCATGTCTAATTTATAAAGCAGCCACCAGAGATAGAATTTTTATCAGTAGAAATTCACATACTAATTGAAATTCATAGACATATGAAAACAATAACATCCTGTAAGTAATGAAACAATATTTTTACAGAATAAAACCTAACAGAAAAACATCTTTTGTGTTAATACTGTATACAGTCACATTACAGGCAAGCAGAATGATACCTGAAATTTATATTTGTTGCATACCATCTATACTGCCCTAATTTACCACCACCAGATTTCTATTTATTCTTAAAATTAAAAGATGTGTGGAAAGCTCAACTTTCTTCATTCAATCACAAAGTTGCTGTGTAAAATCAGAAAAGTCAGCAAGAAATTTCTTTATAGATGGAATGAAAAAGTACCAAGAACATTTGAAAAAATCTGTAGTACTAAATAGTGACTATGTTAATAAATAATCTTGTCCTTTTGAAGAAAAATAAATTTAATTTTTGATACCAGTTTCATTATTCCATCTAGTCTAAATTTTCTTTTCATAGGATGAGGACCTTACTAATCAGTCGACCCTCATAATTTTGACCTGAAATAAATCTACTTCATTTTGATACCAGTTTCATTCTTCTATCTGGTCTAAATCTTTTTTTCATAGGATTAAAGACCTTACTTATAATTCAAACCTCATAATTTTTGAAGAGTTATAAATTTATTTCATCTTGATATCAGTTTCATTATTCTATTTGGTCTGAAACTTGTTTTATAGGGTTGAAGACTTTACTTACCAACCAATCTTTGTAAGATGAAAAAAAAAATTAATCCAATATGAATAATACTGACAAATACTGGAATTTATTTCAAGTTTCCTCTGCAACTTTATCATGAATCAGTACACAATAAATGTTTGGCTCAAAACCTTGACACTGCTTAAGAGCAACATTTGCTTAAATCACTCACACTGGCTTAAAGCAATTGTGAATTTAGATTGTATAATGATTCTAATATTTTCAACATGTGTCATTTGTACTAAATGAAGACAGGCTTAAACCTCTGCTAATCCAAATGCAACACTGATGAGCACTAGTATGATTCCAATTTGAATACAATTGATTCACTGAACAGGTTCAAACATGATTGTATTTAGAATTGACACAGTTCAAAGGTAACAAAATGAACTGAAAAAACATTTTTTATGAAATGAGTCTTAATATGAATTACAGAGTATATAACAAAAGTTGCAAAATAAAGTTTGCTGTATTGGAGGGGGGGTACATACTCATGATAATAGATTCTTATGATGACTGAATAAATGAAAAAAAAAATTAAATATTTTAAATGAATAAAGAAAATAAAACCTACCTATATAAGCATGTCCAGTGTACACACCCACACATTATAAGAAGACTAAACAAATGATCGCATAAACAGATACAAATAGGCAAATACACACAGATATAAAAATATACACATACATAAATACATACACACAACTATACACAGACTAATGCATACATACAAATATATATACACAAAAATAACTAAAATACAAAGACATGCAAATAGATGCAAAAAATTGATAAATACATATATAAAAAACACAGATACAAATACAGGTGCTCATACAAGCAGACATAAATACATACATATAGACAGACAAATAAACAGACAG